CAGGTTTCTTCCCTTATTAACGACATGAGTTTAAATCCATTTTTTTTTAATCTTTGCAAATAAGGATGCTCTTAATTCCTATCATTGGTAAAATATGGTATGTGATCTGTCACATAATTTATAACTTTTACATTAGAAATATTGACGAGAAGAATACCAGGTGTGCTATATGTAACCTTGATATCGTGTGGGTGCTTTGATGTCTGACCTCTCATTTGTTGCCTGTTGTTCTGTATTTCTCATTTGATGTAAATACCCATGTCATGCATTGTTATATGAAGTACTGGCCTGTTAGTTGTGGCGTATGATATGAATGCGCTTAATAAATATTGAAAGTGATCCCAGAACTTCTGTGTCTTTTGTATATGGAAGATTGTTGTTTGGAAAGTGGAGACTACTTGATTATCTACCTTAAGAAAAAGCTATTCTCTGGCATTTTTCAGTTGCTAATACTGAGCATAGACTTTTTATTATGGTAAGTGGACACTACATGGTTATCTCCCTTTACTAAAATGCTACCCACACATTTGACTGTCATGAGGACTATTTGCTGACATGTTACTGTATACTGAATGAGCATCATGGAAAGTGGACACTACGTGGTTATCTCCCTTTACTAAAATGCTACCCACACATTTGACTGTCATGAGGACTATTTGCTGACATGTTACTGTATACTAAATGAGCATCATGGAAAGTGGACACTACATGGTTATCTCCCTCTACTAAAATGCTACCCACACATTTGACTGTCATGAGGACTACTTGCTGACATGTTACTGTATACTGAATGAGCATCATGGCAAGTGGACACTTCTTTGTTATCTTCCTCTTTCAAAAGGCTATTGGGAAAATCTTGCGTACAGGTCTCATTTTCCTCCGACATCATCTCATCAGCAGTTACAGAAAACTCAATAGAACTGATCGAAAATTGATGCAAGTAGGAGATAAATTCTAGGAGAAAGCATGCTTAGCGACCTATCAGTGACAGAAAATCTTGTGTTAGCAGCAACTAAGAAAACCACTCCAAACAAATCTCCTGGTCCGGATAACATCCATCCAAATTTTATCTCAAAAACAATAGAATCATCAAAAGAACCTCTGACCATCATTTTCAACGGGTCCATCCATAGGAAGGAACCAAACCAGATTTGTGGAAACAGGCTTATGTCTCAACAATATTTAAGAAAGACTCTAAAAGTGACTTGGGGAAGCAACAGACCTTTCAGTTTGACGTGGATTCCTTGTAAGATTCTACAACAATAATCAGAGACGCTATCTTTAAAACACATGGACGAGAACTATCTTAAATTGGTCCATCCAAGAAGGAACCCTGCCAGATTCGCAGAAGCAGGCTCATATCACTTATATTTAGGAAAGACTCTAAAAGTGACTCAGGAAACTACAGACCTATCAGTTTGACGTCGGTTCCCTGTAAGAGCTAGATTCCTTAAAACACATGGTTTCAGAAGTCGCCGCTTCTACTAGAGGTTATCGAAGACTTGAGACAGAAGAAGAAGAAGAGAAAAAAACCAGAACAAAAACAATAGGTCTTTTCACCTGTTAGTGAAAAGCCCTAATAAACAACAAAATGGAGTGTAATTTTAAGCTTGATACAATATAAATAGTTTTGATCCCAGCGCAGCTGGCAGGATATTCTGCTGGTAACGTATCCACTTTGTAGGACTGACACTGGATATAGCTAGTACCGAAGCGGGCATGGACACTGGAAGCAGTCAAGTCACGGGATGTTTTCCGATTGTTCTGGCATTTTTTTGTAGTGTAGAGACAAATAAAGGAGCACACCAGTTATTGTATGTGATGCAGATGCTTTGTAAACTATTTCATGCGATCTTAAGATATTGGTAAAAAATGACTACAAAGTATCGGTACAAAATAATGTACAGAGAAAGAAGAAGAGATAACTATTAAAGATCGTGGTCGTGACATATACGATGATGAAACGGACGGCATTGGCATATGTAGATGAGACCGGGATAAACATTTAATGTTCATATGTCTAAATATGGTCATTACGATGTAATTGACTTAAATGTGTTTTCGTCTGTGTACGGCGAATAGATGTTGATGCATTTTCAAGTGTACGGCAACTAGCATGTTCACATTACGGCGAATAGCTATACTAACATAGCCATGTTTAGAGCGAGCATTTGTACTAGCTATATGTGTTATGTTGTTATACCATTGGAGTAACATAACAATGAAGTTGCTCTGTAACAATTTTAAATGATATCGTAAGTGAAGGGGCAGTAAAGAATGTCGAAAGTCTAATGAATGTCGAGTAAATGATGATAAGGATTACCCATTTTTCACATGCTATAACACAACTTAAGCTGTGACCTTGACAATGGTGATGGAGTGTTGGAAATTTAGCTGTGACCTTGACAATGGGGGTGGAGAGTTGGAACTTAAGATGTGACCTTGACAATAGGGTGGAGAGTTGGAACTTAGGCATAAGGTGACACACTCTTTCCCTGTCACAACGTTAATATACAAGAAATTTTAATGATGATGTAGAGAAATTCTGCACTCATACCTAGATTTGCAAAGAAATAAACGATAGTTAAGTTGATATATCCTCAATTTAAATTGTAAAGGCAATACAGACGTCTGAAAGTGTAAAATGTATACACCTTTAACAGGCAATGTGAAAAGTCTGTTCATTCCTACTCAAGATTTATAAGCCTGTTATAACTTTATTTTCATTAACTTTTAATAAGCACTTTTAAATTATGGTCTGAAACTTTGTTTTATGATTATTACTTTAAAAAATGCAACCCTAATATTTTGAGGACTGAAAAACAGACGCAACACTTTTTTGTTAGGCTTATAATTTTTTTGTCTACATCACAGGTAGACTAGTGGTTATCACACTGACTTACCTGTACAGCTGTGTTGAGTGCATTGCTGTTTATTGTTATCTTTGGTGCTATACAACTTACGTACGATAAGGTTCATGCAATTTACACTGTAGGAGATTTACGGTAATCGGGGGACGTTAGTTTCACTTTAGCTTTAACAAAATATATCAAATTTACTTGAATACTGTATACCATATGAACTATCCGCCGTGCACCAGTTATTTTGAAAATTCCTTTTTGCCGTAAATTGTATTTCTATTCGCCATACACCTCACCAAAATTAGTTATGCCAATATCTGAAGAAAGAAGCATAATATATAGTGACTCCATGTATTTTCATGACTACATAACGATAAGTAATCATCGTAGCATATAAATGTATATAATCCACTGGCAAATGTTATGTCAAGACAATATTTTCTGTTGCGAATGAAGATTTAGCGGTACTAGGCAGACTGTTTTTGAAAATAATTTGCAACTACACCAAAAAAGTGTCATGCCTCCTGTTTCAGATATGAATAACGTCTATGCTTGACTGTCGTGCTTCTTTATTTGTCTCTACACTACCAGAAAAAACAAGAAATATCCGAAAACTTCACGTGATTGGACTACACCCAGCTTCCGTGCCCGGTTCGGTACTAGCTATATCCGGTGTCAGTCCTACAAGTGGTATCAAGTGAGAAGACTTCTCACTTCATCAAGAGTCATCCTCGATATCCAGGGGTGACGCTCACTTTCGCTTTTTACAACCCTGGAATATGTCATAGCAAAATTGAAGGCACAAAGATAGCTGTTTAATTGGTCTCAGGTAAAAAAAAAAAATAGGCTGATACCTGTCCTTTGAAGATTACAAAGGAGAGACGTCCGACTTCAAAGCCTGTCATTTTTTACCGTAACGTGACCGCGAGATTCTTTTGATGTACAGTAAAGGATCGAACTAGTCTTCTTGTCTCCTTCAATTTTGCTATGACATATTCCAGGGGTGCAGAGGGCGAAATTGAGTGTTACCCCTGGATTATCGAGGATGTCAAGAGTACATTCAGACGTCTCTACAAGCTCTTGAGCGCTAGTCGCAGGGTCGCGAACGGTAAAAATGACTGGCTTTGAAGTCGGGTGTCGCTCCCCTGTATCTTCAAAGGACATTACGTATCAGCCTAGCGATTGGTCAGAATTTTTTTTATCAAATAGCTGTCTTCGGGTCTTCCATTTTGCTATGACATATTCCAGAGGTGCAGAGAGTGTAAGTGAGTCTAATTCCTGCATTATCGAGGATGATAAGGTCAAGTGAGAGGAGGACATTTAGACGTCTCCACAAGCTCTTGAGCTTTCTATTGACTGTCAGTGGCGGATCCAGAAGGGTTTTTTGGGCTTCAGGAACCCCCCCC